GTCACAGGCTATCACAATTTGAGTGCTAGGCATGCAGGGCAGTTATGTTGACATCTTACAAGCAGTGACACTGCTAAGTGTTGGCTTTGGTAGGATGTGGAATGACCTACACCATACACCTTAGGAAATATTGAGCATATTTGTGAGCTGAGTCTTAATGGACGTTGATGAAGTATTTATGAAATGTCCTTTCCACAAAAGCTCACTTGGCACCAGTACTGTCATCTTTAGGACGCAGGGCAAAAATGTGTTTATTTCCCAGGCCTTTGGGTATTAGCCGTGGCCCAGGTGTTGTGGACTGTTTTGTGGTACTCATTCTAAGTTGTTGTGGTGGTAGTAGTGCTGGGATTGTATATTGTGGATGAATGCTTTTCATATTGTTTTTACAGATTATGTCTTTATGGTGTTTATTCATATATTTGGGTAGTCTTTTTTGCACAAGTAAACAATGCATGCATGATGAGGATAATGATGCTGTAATGATTTAGTGTTATGATTGTAGTACTTTAAATGTTGTTAAGTTTCAGAAGGGCAAGGGGAGGTAAAAGAGGGGGGTGAGTGAGGGAGGTGATTGGTTGGTAACTGAGTGTGGGCGGAGCTTGGAACTGTGTGAGAAGAGAGAAATCGATATTATGTCTGTCAGCAGCTACAGACAGTTGCTGAATCTGAAGAGGCAGTCTTTTCTTTAGAATCCCATATAGCACTGTGAAAGGCATTTAGGATTCATAAGGAAAGGAAGGAAGTAGAATATTAAGACCAGCGGTCCCCAAGCTTTTTGGCACCAGGGACCTGTCTTGTGGAAGACAGTTTTTCTATGGAGCGGGGCATGGAATGGTTTTGGGATTATTCAAGCACATTACATTTATTGTGCAGTTATTTCTATTATGATTACATCGGAAGATCTAGGTTTGAGTTCCTGTTCAGCCATGGAGGCCACTGGGTGACTTTGGGGCAGTCACCTACCCTCAGTCTAGGCAACCTCACAGGCTTGCTGTAAGGATACAAATGGAGTGGAGGAGAACTATGTAAGCTACCTTGGATTCCTCACAAAAGTAAAATGTGGGCTGTAAATGTAATAATAATAGCAACAACAATAATCTGTTCCACTTGGAACTGATGCAAGATAGCACACAGTAGACCTGGCCACAATTTGGAAAGCACACCATCTGACCTGTGATAGCTAAGACTCTCAGGCAACTGTCTATCATGGGCTGTTCAGGATTTCCCAACCTTATTATTTGTTTTATTATTTATTAGCAATATTTCTGAATTGCTTACTAGTATAAAATCTTAAGTGGTTCACATAAAAGTATTTATGTGACTTTTTAACATGTATCTGGATACCAAAGACTTGATGAGCTTGCCCTTCCTAGGTATTTTACTGAGTCTTTCTTTATTAGTAGTTGGTTTTAGCTATTTAAAACTTTTAATGTATTTCTGATTTTCTATATATTTAGTGTATTCTAATTTATGTTTTATGGGCTGCTGTAAACTACTCAGAGAGCTTTGGCTATGGGGTAATATGGAAATAAAATAATAGTAATAGTAATGGTAATAATAGTAATAATTTAAAACCCCATTTAATACACTATTAAAAATTCTGACTGCAATAAGAATTCAAAACAATTCAAGAAACAACAAGATGGAGCAGGAAATTATTAATTACAATTAATTACAAGCCAGAGAAAACCTGGCTGAACAAGTTCATCTTCAGGAGGTGTTCAAAACTTTTTCTGTCTCCAGAGGGTGGGCACTGCCACCAAGAAAGATCACCCTCAAAACATTCAAAACCTCTAAATATCTTTAGCCAGCCAGATATATACACATAGGAGCAGTCTGCCAGACATCTTGGTCCCAAGTTGTTTAGTTCCTTGCATGACAGCAGCATAACAGTGAACATGGCCTGGTTGCTAAATAGGCAGTCAGTGTACTTCTTTTCACACAGGTGTTACATGAACATAGCTGGGTGCCCATGGGGTCCTTAGCTGCTGCATGCTGCACTAGCTGCAGCTTCTGCACCAGGTGCCGGGGTGTCCCCTCATAAAATGCGTTACAGTGGTCTAATCATGAGTAGTCTTACTACAGTAGTGCAATTGGGTCACCAACCAAAGTCAGTAACAGGTGCTGAGGTCACACTGAAATGATGTGCCTGCTCCTTCAGAGGAAGTACTGCCCAGCAGAACAGGCAAACAGTCCAATTCCCAGAGCTGGAAATGGCCCACCCATATTGTCACTGCATTCAGTGTGTTCATTTTATTCAGATTCTTAGCCCTTAGCTGAACGATCACTGTGTCCAGGCACCGGTTCAGGATGTGCACAGCCTCTTCTGATTTAGGCATCACAGACAAATAGAACTGGGTATTATCAGTATAATGCCACACACATTATACTGAATTTGATGGGTGGCTAATCCAGAAGGGCTTTCCCAAACTGTAGAATGCTTTCCCTAGAAACCTGGTGCCGACTTTGTTGCCTTTTTGGCACTTGGTGAAGCCTGTTGTCTAATCTTCTCAATTTTAAAGGTGCAGCTTTCTTCTTGTTTGGCTTGCAAAAATATTTTTAAATTGGTGTTTTAAAATTGTCCTTTCTGTGCTGCTTTGCTATCTTTTATATATTTTTATTGGCAGTGATGGCAGTTGCTGCTTTTACTTCTTTTGTTTTTAAGTGATGTTATTGGTTTTACAGTATTTGCACAACATGTACCCACCAGATAATTCTAATTAACCAGCTACATTTCTGGCTATAATTCAAATGTATAATGAGTTTTTCAATATTATATGCTGCAATAACCATAATTATATTTTAACATACTTGTATTTGTAAAAAGATCAGTTTTTTTTAGTATCCCTTATGAATGTATAAATATATGAAAATACCCTTTGACCTAATCTTTAATGGGGGGATCATGCCATAGCAATCATTATTTAGGATTGGAAGACTATGAACAAGATCCTACTGATTTGTTCATTAGCTTGATTAGCTGTTCCAGTTAGCTTTGGATATTAATGAGCAGAAGCAATGAATTTGTTCAGTAAGTAATAATTTTGTCATATTTCAGGACTGCCTATTTCACAGAAACATGACTGGAGACCTAAAAATATTTGTAGATAAATATGGGTTTGATGTCCTTGTCATTTTGGCCAGCTACTTAGCAGAAGGAGGACAAGAAAAAAGGCAAATTGCAGTTTATTCAGAAAACATAGAGCTGGGAAATCAGGTAAGAATGCAATGATTTTGCCTTGTCCTGTAGTATAGAATTACTCAGTCTTTTGCCATCCTGTTGTAAGGTATATTGTATGATGTATGAGATTTTAAAATTACTGCATTTATTGACAGCAAAACAGTGATTTCTCCAATTTTCTGTGGGCAGTGATACAATAAAATGTAATTAGGTGTTTAAAGAATTGGGGGCAGAGGAGGAAAATAATGCAACTATTTTATAAATCTGAGTTTTTAAAGACAGTATTTCTAATTTGACTCTTTTCTTATTTTGTCTCACTTTTGCTATCCATTCCATAATTATCTAAGTAATTTATCCACAGTTTTTGTTTTTGTTTTGTTTTACTTTTAGCTCAGAGATAGAGTAATCACAAAGCATGCCAGTGCTATTACTTTATTGTGCCTTCAAATGGCTACCAGTGAAAAGTACCTATTGCTACCAGTGAAAAGTCACTGTGCAGCAATCAGACTGATACATATGGTTAAACAGCCCACTGTGATTTATTTATTTAAGGCATGTAAGTTGTAGTATATGCTGGAGTGTAGAGATGCATGTAGATAGCCATTTTGAATATTCATTGCACAGCCACAGCTTGGCATGCCATGTGATTCTGGTCTGCAAAGGTTATGCAAGGGTTAAATAACACAACAAACAGACCATGAGTTTGTTATTTAACAGGGGTTTAACCCTCACAGAACCCAAGCCACCCAGGCTCACACAACATAGCAGGCTACAACCAGATGTTGAATATGCAAATTCCATCCAGCACACACTGCAGCCCAGTGTGCCTTAAAAACTCATAGAGAGCCATTTGATCATGCCTGTTAGCCCATTCTGTCTTTCTCTCCTTAACCGGTTTTTCATGGAAAGAAAGACAAAAGAAGCAATGGGAAAACATGGCAGGGTTACAAATGGAAAATATATGCACTTCTTTCCTTATTCTGTAAATGAGGCAGGATGGTAGCAGACTTTTAAAAAGTCTGGAAGAGTCATCTGGAAGCAGGATTACAGAATTCTATTTTCCTTGAAACAAGGCTTGCCAGAACCTTTTGACTCTTCCCAGATCAGATTATCACTTTCCTGTTTCAGATAGTTGAGAGAGATCCATAGTTGCACTTTTTCTTAAAGTTCACAATTGTTGACTGGATATATGGTTGTTAATATTTATATTACTTATGTAATATGTATATATTATATTACTTTATTAAATGTTAATATAAATAATTCATTGAAATAGTTTTAATACCACAATTATTCTTCGTATATTTTTGGTACTTTAGAATGATTGTCCAGTTACTCCCAATAACTGATTCTTGGATGATTGCAGGTTGAAACCAACCAATATAAAGTGATTTTGGATACTGTTGTGACTTATATTTGTTAATAGAAAAGATTTCACAATTTTTCCTTTTGCATTATTGGTACTTAATAGTATACTGTACTTAATACAGCATTATGTAATTATCTGGACTGTATCACAGATTTAGAAAATGTCTGTTTCCTTTTAAACCTCTATAAGCATTATTGCTGGTATTTACCTTTGAATGTGCATTGAGTTGCATCCACCTGCAGCGTGGTAGGAGAAGGACCTTTCTCAAAAGGCTGCAAACTGTGGAATTTTACTGTCATCTTCTAAGTGCTTCACTATTAGAAAGTAAAAAAACATTTAAAATAGTAAGAATACAATGAGAAGGGCAGTATCTCCCCCCATGAACATCAAGAGTATTATAATAGTGTGCAAACATTTTTTTTACAAACACTGTTTATTTTTTTTAAACAGATTTGTTGTGAGTTAGAAGAGTGTCAGAATCCTTGCCTAGAACTGGACCCTCTGGAATATGGATGTGACCAACTCCTCATCTATCAGCAAGAAAATTCCATAGCAAATTGTGATGAAATTTTTCTGCTAATGAAAGATGTAATCAGCAGGAGACACCCAGAAATGGCACCAAACAGTAGAACATCTTCCACTGAAGCAGTTGCTGGAAGTGCCCCACTGTCCCAGGGGTCATCTGGTATTATGGAGCTCTATGGTTCAGACATTGAACCACAACCAAGTGTTGTTAACTTTATAGAGAACCCTCAAGATAATAATGGAGCTGCCCAAGCCCATGCAGATGTTAACATAGATCTTGTGAGTCCAGACAGTGGACTTGCTACTATTAGAAGCAGCAGATCTTCCAAAGAAAGCTCAGTTTTTCTCAGTGATGATAGCCCTGTAGCAGAAGGGGCGGTATCTCATCACAGTTTTCTTTCTGGTTTTGACTCCTACAGCCCTATTCCTGAAGGAGCAGTGGCTGAAGATGAAAAGCCTCAGTCTAGAAACAGCAGTGATAATTTTGATCTTTTCAACTTTGATTTGGTACCAATGGCTACAGTTCAGACTGAGTCTTCTCATTCGGTGGACTGTTCTTCTGCTGATGATTTCTCCCATGACAGTGGTTCATCAGAAGAACAGCAGCCAGCTGACTTAAAAGTAACAGACAAGAAACATATATCAGAACATGATATAGCAAATTATTCAACTGATTTCCCAGTGACAAGAAATGAAGAAGGCATAGAAAAATCTGATGGATGTAGCCACCAGCAAGAAAATTCTACAGATTTTTCTGAAGAGAAATCAGGTTCGGTTGACTTGGATAATGATTCTTCCTCTTGTCCTGAACTTTTGAAAAGTGTTGAAAGAAGAACCCCACCAACTCCTACAAACAGCCTTGTGGAAACATCACCTTTAGATAGTGGGCCACCTTTATTTTATCCACAAGATATCATAAAAAAAATTAATGAAATTGATCATGTCAGGAGTTCCCAATCTTGTGTTAGATATGGGAGCTGGTGGGATGATTTTGAATTGGAGCCAAAAAATGCTGATACATGGAGTTTAGATGAACCAGAATCTGTATTTCAGAGCCCTGATTCATGGAAAGATTATAAAGCAAGCTTATTACTGAGACAGCAAACAGATAGGAGAGCTTCTGATTCAGTATGTGTGCAGAAGCCACCAAAGCATATGGGATATTCAAGAAGAGGCATCTGGGAGGAGAGATTTAATCTTGCCCAGAATGAGCATACTTTGGGATGCCAACAGAAAGAAAATGAACCACAACGAGAAGACTTTGCTAACATGTGGAAATCCAGTCAAACAGTTTCTGCAATATCTGATCAATGGGGTAATACCAGCACTACTAAAGGACACATCAAGACAAATCCACCCAATGTTTGGTCAGAGTTTGATCACGATGACTCTGGACAGCCAGAGAGTACATGGAATGTTCCTCAAGTGGAGTTTGATCACATTTCACAAAGGAATCTTGACACATGGGATATGTCTAAATGTTTGTCAGAACTGTCTGCAGACAATGAATGTGAACGTCTAAACAATCAAATAAATCTAGGTTCCAGAAACCAAAAAGACTACACAGCATTTGGAAACCCAAAATCTGATACTGGCAGTATGCAGGATAATGTTAAATTGTCTAAAGAACACCAAAATGGCACTGTGTATAAGTCTAAACAATTTGCTAATGCAGATAGATGGGATATGTATGACTCAAATGTTAGAAAAGAGGTATTTGGCAATTTTGTCTCTTGGGAAGACCCCTTTTTGTCATACAGAGATACGGACTTCAATATATCACATACAGGTGAAGATTTGGTTGTTTCTCCACCAGATACAAATTATTCAACATCTGACTCATACACGTCACCAACAGGGGTTGGAGATGAAAGAGAAATTGAAGTAAAACATTCTGACAGAGAATCAAACTTGGATCAAACCATAAATGCAAGCTCAGATGAACCAGAAACATACGATCTAGCAAATGAGAAATCAGTACCTGAAGCATCTGTGTGTTCATCTGATTCCAGAGATGGAAACAGACTCCATTGGCAATCATCACTTAATAATGAGAACCAAGTGAAAGCTGCACATTCTGTAGGGAAAGTTGTAACTGACAGAGTTTCATTTGATTCTGAACAGAAAGGTGCCACATATTTTTCTGATGATTACTGTGTTGATGAAAATAGTGCTACTAGTTCTGAAGACACTGGAATGATGCTGATTTCTACACAGGAAAATGGTCACTCATCTCTACATAATGCCATAAACATAGCAGAAGAAAAATCCGAAATGGGTAGTGGGGTCATTCCTGAGGATGTGTTTCCCCATTGTGGCACAACTGACACAGAGAGCACTGTTTCAGTTAGCGATCTGGGAGAAGGAAATGAACAGTCTGAGCAGGGCACTAAACTTCTAGGTACGCAGTGGGACCAATGGGATGAACAGCTTCAGCACAATTCTTATGCTATATTGGAGCAAAGTGGCATCTCTTCTGCTTCAATACAAGGAGTCATGGAATGTAAAAGGACTGGTGAGGGAAGTGAGCAGGTCACCCTTAACCCAATTAGGGATGAATGCATGGAAAATGACAATGCACTGTTGTCCCTTTTGCTCCCTCTTTCATATGTTAATAATTCAGAGGAAAGCAGAACAAATTCTATGTGCCCTAGTTCCCCAGAAAAAACAAGGGCTAGTAGAAGTCTTACTGTAGCAGCAGAACCCTCAGAAAGAAGCATTCCATTTCCTGTCCATGAACTAAAACAGGAAGAATGTTCAGCTAGCAATGAAGAATGTTTTGCTGTGTCTCCCAGGGAAGATAATGAATATTTGGCACATAATAACATAGCTGATCACCCAACACACAGTTTGAGTTTTTCATCTACACCAGTTTCTAAACATTTTGATAAGGAACTAAATGCACAGCTGTACCCTGAGATCAAAAGTCCTTCTTCAGGTTCCTCTAGAGAAGAGAATAATCAAGACAAGGATTCTCTGTTATTGGATGAAAATCAGGGTATATGGAATAAATTGGAGGACACTGTTGCTAAGTTAGAGACATCAAGTTCATTGCTACTTGATGAAGCACAAGTACCAAAAGAAGAATGTCAGGAGCTTTTATCTAAAGAGTCAGTGTCTATCATAAACATGTGTAAAATTGGATTGGAAATTCCTGGAAACATTTCAGAGGTATCCATCAGTTCTGAAACATCATTGGAGGATAACAGTCAAGGGAGAACTACTGAAATTCCACACAGTCCATATGTAGAACATACTGAAGCTCCAGATACAAGAAATAGTTACACAATTAAAAAATCATTGTCCTCTGAATTCGATTCTTCTGAGAGAAGTGAAACTTCAGAAAGCTTGGAGTCTAAGATTCCAAGTGAGGAATGTATTGATATTGAACCTCATCATGAATTGTCTCAAATTCTAAATGCTTGGAATGTATCAGTGAATGAAAAAGCACAGTCTGCTGGAGAAAGCACAGAGTTAAGTAAGGTGCTTGAATTTTCAGATACTGCATATAATGTTCCAGGAAATTTACCAGTCAAAAATGCCTACAAGGAAGAGAACACTTACAGTGGTTCTGCTTGTGATTACACACATTCCAGTGCAACAAGTCCTGATATAAGTGATTCTTCTACAAATATGCAGATTTGGGACAGCTTGCAAGCAGCTAATAAGGAAAAAGAACATCCAGATGATTGGGACCTCACAAGTGAGGCCAAAATGGAAACATCTGGTAAAGAATCACTGGAGGATAAAAGCCAAGAAAATTCTGAAACAAGCACTGATCACAAAGTGCCTAAAAACTTAGATTTTTGGAATGCTCATGTGGAAGATGAGACAGTATCTTCTTTATCAAGTGCAGGAATAGAGGAAGATCCAGAATACTCAAATGTACACCAGTCAGATTTACAGCTTGAAAAACTAGATGCTGATATGGGAGAGACTGAATATTTACAGTCTCATGAAACAACTCATGCAATTGATTCAGAAAATTCAGCTGTTCAACCTAATTTGGAGGAGAGTGTCCATCGAGCTGTGTTAAATCAAAGTTCTGAAAGTGTTAATGCTTGTCATACTTCAAGAGAAGAATATGGTCATGAAATTTCTGAATTTTCAGTATGCCAGGAAACAATTCAGGGGGAAATTCATGCTCATACTTCACAAATGTCTGCTATAAATCATGAAGAAAATTATGCTTCAAAGACTTCAGATGCATGGGATATACTATTGCAAAGTAATTCTGAAAATACATTAGATAAAATTCAAACATCCATAGAGGAAGATCTTGGCTTTCAAAATGATTCTTCAGAATGGTGGAATGTAGAAAAACGTGATAGTTCAATGGAAGATCAACAATTAAATTCTAGTAATGATTCTAAAATTATTGATAATGTAGCCATTGCCTGTGATACTTGGGGAGTTCACACAGAAATAAATGAAGACACAAATCCCACTGATGCTGCTCTATATGGAAATGAATCTACTCAATATAATTCTGAAGGCAAATGCAAAAATGGAGAACACTCATTAGCTAAAAAAAATGAAAGATTAGATTACAATACTGTAAACTGCAAAGAGTGTGATCCACTGTCACCATCCTGTAAGGGTGAACTGAATGTAAAGCTAGAATCCTTTACTGATGCTGACAAAGATGAAGAGAAACAACTTGATCCAGAAGATGGACAGTCAGGCTTGTTGAATGCACTTGGTCAGGTAGATCCAGCACTTGTTCTGTTAGGATATAATTTGAATGCAACTTCTAGCAATCAGAATAAAGAAAATATAGTCAATTCCTTTGATCAAATAATATTAGGCACTAAGGAAAAAATTCCATCTAATTCTTCATTACCTTTAAAAACAACAAGATCTTCCAACGTATCATACAATGAAGACAAACTTCTACAAGAAAATTCATTTGTTCCAGATATATTACAAAATAATACCCCTGGTGACTGTCAGACATTTACTGTTGAGCCAGATTTATGGACTGATGTTGAACAGCCTTTACTTTTGAGGACAAATGGAGAAAATCCTGATATATTAAATCACTGTGATCAAGACAGCAGTTCACAGGCCTCAAGCAGTCCTGATGTTTGCCATGAATGTGAAAGCAAGCAAACATGTGCACAAGCTTCAGTTCTAGCTGAGCCTGAAGAAGCTACTCAGATGTCTCCCATGCTGTCAGATGCATACAAAGACACAGGCTTTGATTTTAATCAGCCTCCAGCAATTGACAGAGAAGAATTACACCCTGAAGGAAATAGTCCTTGTAGTCCAAATAATTATGAGACAGACATTGGTGATTCCTACCAGCTAACACCTCCAACAACTGAAGAACCATCCAAAATTGGAGAGGCAACTATTATGCAAGAATCTGACATAACAAATAAAACAACAATTGAACAAGGAAGTCTGCCAGGCACCTATACTGAAAATTTAGAAATGGTGTCCCAAAATCTGGAAAACAATGCATTTAAAAATGAAAGTTTTGAAGAACGGGAAGCCTCTGCTTCCATCGATACAATTGAATCTGTGGATTCTACTGCTGCCTCAGCTTTGCCCACAGGTGTCTCTGAAAGTGATAATCAAATCTCAACCTTTGACCATATAGCAGGGGTAGTTGATCAACTGGAAATACTGCATATGGATATTAATATTGGTGAAGTTGGAAGAGATCATAACATCACTCAGATATCACTTACTAATCCTCCGGCGATGTTAGAGCATCAATCAGAGGAAAGAACAGAAACACATGCAGCACTTACAAAGAAACATTCATTGCAAGCCTCCCTGGAAGAAGAGAAGGAGGATAGTATATATGGTACAGAAGGGCAATATGCTACTAATATTAGACAGGAACTTGAAAATATGCTGGAGCATCATAGCCCATGGTTTATAGAATCACCTGATAAGGAATCACCACTTGTATGTACTTCACCATTTGATTTATCAATTGGTACAGAATATACTCTTCAAACAGATGACACAAACTTTTCAGAATCTAACATTCTTGAACTAAAAGCTGAAGATGTAGAATGTTCACAGCCAGATCAGGGTTGGGGATCCCTGTTGATAGAATCTGATGAAACTCCAGGATCTTCATGCACTTTGAAAAGATTTGAGTACGATACAGATTCAAGTAATATTGAATCATCAGCTGGTTGCAGTGAAATTGACATTTCAGAATCTAAAGCTATTGATGTCAATACTGAAGCTACAGAATGTATTCAAGAAGATCAAGGTTGGGGATCACTTTTGTTAGAATCTGACAAGGCATGTGAACCATCATGTGCTTTGAAAGAATTTGACCATGAAATAGAATCTAGTAATACTGATTCATCAGCTGCTGGAGGTGAAAGGACTCTTTCTGAACCTAAGCCTAGTAATGCCAGTGGCAAGGCAAGGGAATATTCTCAAAAAGATGAAGACTGGGCATCTTTATTGTCAGAATCAGAAGAGACTCCTAAGTCAGCTGACTCTTTGAAAGAATTTGAATATGAAGCCGAATCATTTCATATTGATTCACCAGCAGGTGGCGTCATAAGCATGGCCAATGGTGAGTAAACCAGTCAAATGAAAATGTAATTGTGGAACTATAGCATGATGCTGATATACAAGACTGTATTGTATTTGTACCACATAAATTCAATTATCTTAGCTGGAATATTTCCATTGTAATTCCCTTTAAAACAGACAACATCGATTATTGTTGTATTCTGCATACTAGCCAAGGAAAAATCAGTTTTTGTTCCCAGTTCTATGTATCACACAACCCAAAAAGATTTGTGTATTTTATTGCTGTAAATTATCTACATTTCCTTGTGTTAGGTGAGTTACTAGTTCATTAAACCTGACTTGTGCAAAATAAAAAAGGAACAGGAGGTGTGTAAACCAAATAGAAAATATTTTTCTTTTTAAATAAGCATGAACAGTGAATTAGCTACTCTAAAATGTTTGCATTTCATTTCAGAAGCTACCTATGGTGCATTTAGTAATGATGATAAGGAGTTCGAATCCATAGATAGGACAGAAATGTCAAGAAAAGAATACAAGGAAGAAGATATAAAATTAAAGGAAGCCAAAGATCAGTCTTCATCAGAGATGGATAATGTTCTCATTGCTGGGGAAGAAAATGTATCTTTGAGGAAGGATATCTTGGTAACACGAGAAAGCAATTTCACTTCACAGGAAGCTCCAGCAGTTGCAGAACAAACAGATTCTCTGGAATCCTTTTCAGCAGACTCCTCAGATACATTTCAGTCAATCTCCATAATAAATGAAAGTGAAGGGCAGTCTACTCTGGAGACTGAATGGGATTCTTTTTATTTAGCAGAAAAAAATTCTCCTCTTGTGCCTCAAAAATTGGGAGATGAAAAGAAATTGCCCAGAAGTCCTGTGCAAGATCAGGAATGGACAATGGTGGGCCAAAATGGAGCAGATGATGTATCACCTGAAGAAATCTGTAGCAGGACAGAGACAATAGAGTCACTGTCTAGACATTCCATGCAAGATCTTTTAAGCCAGAAAACAATCTCTGTGACACAAGCTGAAACTCTAGTAAAAAGGAAGCCTCAGAAATCACTGAAACAAGAAGATGAGTTTTCACACAATAGAGGGACAGATGCTCTTTTATTGCAGGCTGTTGCTTGTGATGGTGAATTGGATGTTCATTCACAGCAGTGTCCTGGAAATAGCATGGTAGTGGAACAAGAAATGGAAGAGGAGACCCAATTTGTTGGCAGTGAAAGAAAACTCAGTCATATAACAGGGTAAGGAGATGCTTGTTCATTCTGTTTCTGCTTTTATTCTGTATCAATTTAGGACAGATTGCCACAGATAATCAAAAGCTATTTTTCACTACACAGAAGGGGTTGGATACAAATTTGCACTAGTGGAAAGTGTGCAGGATGTATCTCCCTATTATTACTGGCTCCCCTACTCATTGCTTTCTCTTAAATCCCTCATTATTCTAGAAAGACATCAAACCTCAGAAATAGCTTTTCAGGAATGATGAGGGCTGTACCATTTTGGGGGAATTGAACAAAGCCTGGTCTTCATTAGTAAAAAGCTCCCCAGTGCATATCAGCTTTAGACTTTGTACTTGACAATATATTTTCAAATTAATTTGTAATGTTGAGTGTTTAAAATTATCCTGTGAATCATTTCTCTCTTCACTGGTGTAACCCAGGTCCTCTTGATTGCTTTCCTACACAGAGTACAACTACATGTTATGCTGTGCTTAGTGCATTTGGTCTTACAGTCTCCTTAACACAAATACCTTTCACACTTGTCTGCTCCACTGGCACATTTTCTTCTTATCCCATTTCTGACTACATCTACTGTAGGGATGTAGCAAGTATCAAAACATACTTTTCCTGAACCAGTATATGAATATTCACTGTTACCAGTAAGAATCCTGAACATGGCCACAGATTACAAGTGACTCATGGGATGAGGTGAATAGAATTCAGATGGATTTCCATCAAGCCTGGTGCACGCTTGAGCAGCCTTCCTCAACGAGGTGGCCTTCAGAGGGATTTGGACAGCAACTCCCAGAATTCCCATCCAGCAGGGCCATTGACTGGAAATGTTGGGTGTTGCAGTTCAAACGTGTCTGGAAGGCACAAGGTTGGGGAAGGCTGTTCTAGAATATTTTTCTTCTTATTCAGTGGGGTCCCACCAAAAAGTCCTGTTGGCAGCTAACAGGTTTGCAGATCGCTTCTGGCAGTCTGCAGAGAAATACATATGAAACACCTCCAATCTGTTGATGGCTTGGATGTGTTAGGAGGTCATACTTTACTCAGATCCCTAGCTTTGTTCCTCCAAGACTGGAAGAATACAAATCTGACTTTATTTTAGTGTGCATATATGCTGGATGCTCACATCTACCTGCACATGGAGGCTGCTTCCCTAACTCAGGTGTTTAGTAGCTGCCATCTACTTCTGTCAATGGGGGCTTCAAATGGGTACACTATACTAATTTTGTTAAGACTGAATATTCAATTAATATTATCTTTCTGAACAAATTTATTTGAATGGATTTCATTGCTTTTTCCCAAAACAATGCTGTTAATCATGGTCTTGGGATCAGATTCTGATGGTGTGCTTTAGCAGCAGTTGAAGGAGTACAAACAAATCTGAGTGACATAATGGTAATATTTTTGGAGACAGGTGAATGAACAGAACAACTTTGCTCTCCCGGTAGAATTTGAAATATAACCCAGCATGTGGGTGATGAAATGTTTCTTTGTGTTACCTTGCATTCTTTGGCTTAGCTTTCAAGAAAGTAAAATGCCCACCTCAAGTCATATTTTACTTTCACATATCACATGCTTCATTCCAGATCAGTCGAACAAAAGAGCTTAAAATGCCCATTTTGTGGTATGAAGGCTCAGTGATCCCAGGACAAGGGGCAACTGGACAGTAGGTACATTTTTCCCAGTTGTGACCTAATATATTTTAGTATCTTGATCATTTTATGGATTTTCACCAAAAAGCTGATCCTACAGACTTTTCTGTAGAAGCCCTCAGTTTTTCTCCTCCCCATTCCACATGCAGAGTCTCGAATATGCTACCTTGTTTGTTGCTTTGTTACCCAGTTCTGTATCAAAAAATGAATTTTAAAATAATTGAACTGAAACAAATAATATAAAACATGTCAAAATATTTATGCCATAAATAACCTGGAAAAAATGGTTTGGTCTGTTGGGTTGACAGACGTTTGCTTTTTTTAGCCTTTCTCTTCCTGTAATTTTTTGTTCTATCTTTGGAAGGGAAAAGCAGCAGTTTTTCTTAATAAGCGCATGCATGTTATATTTGCAATCCTAATTTGCAGATAAAAGCTAGTGCCTTTTAGCTGCTGTAGCTTCTGGTATATGCAGCAGAGAATCCAAAGGCAGGTGATCATCCTTATTTAGAAGTACCACTGGTCATGTGACCAGAAAAATGGTGGAGATCTGTATTCTTAGTAAGCTGCTACAGAAGGCAGATGCTGGCATGAACTACTAAAGCATCTTTATTATTTTTCACTTTGGAAAATAGGCTCCTTAACCTCTAGAAGGTAAGCACATTTTCTTTGTACTCAGAGATTGAGGAGGAGCATGTTTTTCTACTTAATGGCTCTATTGTTGCAGTTCCTACGGAAGGATGGGTGCATAGAGAATGTGGGGAGAGAAGGATATTTGTCAGCAGGATGCAAAACATCAACCGCCTCATTATGAGAAAATTAGGCAGCTGTGTCTTAATTCTGTCACATCTCTTTATGAAGGGAATTGTACATCCACTTGACGGATTTGTCCTGTCAGGAGGTGGATTTTTTTGTAATTAGAGAACAAAACTTTACTGTGCGTTTAATTGTATAATATTCTTCCTTATTGTCATTTGGTTTGCTGCATAGCTTTCAGAGTAGAGCTGTGAGAAGGGAATAAGGACAGAGCTGCTCTCTATCTGGGTGAAAGCCTTGTTTAACGAAGGGAGAGCACTAAAACCATCCTAGACTGCTCCAGCCTTACAGCAGAGTTAATAGACAATTGCACAGTTTTTGATCTTTCACTGTCAAGTGCAGCACATGACACTCCTTGCTGGAGCCATTCTGCTAGATAACCACAGTGAGAAAAGCTCTTGTAACTATTCAAAAGAGAATTGGGTTTCAAGTAGACAACAGAAATATTAGGGCTTGGAAAGTAATGAGCATCTCTCTCTCTCTCTCTCTCTCTCTCTCTCTCTCGAGAGAGAGAGAGAGAGAGAGAGAGAGAGAGAGATGGATGTCATGGCTACCAATATAGGAAGGTTTCTAAAAATGTGCTAATTAAAACATGAGTGAGAATAAGCGTAAAGGAAGATGTACAACAGTGTTGCTATTGTGCATTGTAATGAATTGGCCGTCCTGAATTCATACAAATCAGAGTTGTAAGAGGGGCTAATGGGTTAAAAGATTACTGTGAAGCCTTCTTCAACCATGAGAGGTTGATGTGATTGTTTGGAGATAATGTTAGACCTGGATACAGCAGTCTGTATTTCCGGTCTTAGCTCATCTGTGAATTCAATGATCAGCCCCGGTTTGTTGAAGTCGCTAGACTGCAAATGGAAGTATGAGGGTAGCATAAAATGAAGTAGACTGTCAAGTGCTCAATAAACTTATAAATAACCATTTTCCCTGTTACATCTCTTTTGGCAAGGCATTAAATGGAACGCATTAAATGGAACCCTGTTTTTGTTCTAATTGTAAAGCTAAGTGATTCCTATGTTTTGGTGGCATGAAGAGGGCATTTGCATTCCTTTCCAAACAAGGAATGTTTGGAAAGGCCACTGGTATAATGTACATTTGATCTACTCCTTTGGTATACTAGGGCAGGAGGTTAAAAGCATAGCAAGTTGCATCCTTTTATAGGGTTGCAGCTCATCATAGTTCTAATCCAAATGAAGCAGCTTTGATTTCTGCACTCTGTACTTTTAGCTGATGAAAGCTGTAGGATTCTTGCACACAGTGAATTTTATTTATCTATTTATTGGATGTCTATGCTGCCCAATGGCTAACATTTGCCCCCTTTAATTCACACAGTTCCTTCCCTTCATCTTCAAAACTCTTATCTTGTATTCCTGCTCCTGCAGCTTCTGCATTTTTAGCTTTCGTAAATCCCAACATGACCCACTTATAGCCACTAGAAATGCTGTTGCTAAGATCACTTCACTCATTAGTGCCCTTGATTCTGGTACCCTTTACTTTATAATAGGCTCTCCATCCCTTTCTTATCTGCATGAAAGTAACATAGACATGGTCTAGTCTTTTGAGGGGGGTTTTAGTGTATATGCACTTACTATGTTTTGCATCCTATAAAGTATTTATCTTACTTTATGCCCTTGGATCAGCAGCCCGTTAAAATTATATGCCCTGGACAGGATATAGCAGCCTTCCCCAACTCAACACCCTCCAGATGATGCCTTCTGAATGTTGTTCACCATGCTTCTGGAGATGATGGTGGCTGTAGTCCGACACATCTCGGGGGAGCCAGGTTGAGGCAGACTGTTCCACAGTGCAATTCTTTCCGTTTTCTTTACAGCATAAGCCAGAGTAGGCAGCCTTTTGGACAGCAGGCCCATTTGGCAGTTTGCAAAACTGTCCTGAGAACCACCATAAAATGGCTGCTGTGGGAGACAGTTCAAGGCTAGGGGTGAGAGAATAAAGCTACCAAGGCTTCTGTTTTATTCATATCTTATTTATTTTTCTGTTTCTGAGGGTACCAACTTCCCAGCTAAGGCATTGTTAGGATTTATAGTCCTAGTCTTTTAATTTCCAGCTTTTGCAATTGTGCTCTTAAAGTACAAACTGAAGATATTTTACATTGGATATGATGCATAATGTAATCAGACTGTCTTTCCTGAGGCTTACTCAAAGTGTTTTTGACTGCGTATGTATTTCAGAAGACTCCAAATAAATTTCTCTTCGGAGTTGCCATAAGTCTCTCTGTGGCTGATTGGTGGTGTGCCAAGTGCTGCTGCTCTAGTTCTGATGTGACTCTTTCATTCATGTCAGCCTTCTTCTGATAAAAATACTCAAGTGTATTAAGTTATCAGTGGCCATACTGACTGGCATGTAGCCTCCCATGTCTCTGTGACTTACCTCTGCTCAAGATTTTACCTGGGTGCAGCAGCTTTGCATGCCCCTTTGAACCAAAGTAAGTTGCCAGCTCTGTGCCAAGTTTTCTTCAGAAGGTTCATTGCCATGGCCATTTACTAGCCACAGCAAAGGAAACGTCTTCATGTTCCCTTC